AAATCAGCCAGTGCTCTTAAACACTGAGCCATCTCTCTAGCCCCTTTCTTTCCCACTCTTGATGCAGACTTTGCTCAATTAAAACCCTACCTAGAACAGCCTAAGTCACCATCCAAACACCTGTTCAAGGCCCTTCACCCTCAACTATGCTCTTGAAGTTTTCATGACTCGTTAACATACATCATGTGCTCCTTCTTGCCTCCATGTCTGTGCTCCCCTGACTAGAATGCCCATGACCTCTCCACAGACAGACATTAGCCCTGCTGTATCCTCAACATCCAATTCTGCCTTCTTCACAGGCCCTTTGTCCCGGGCACACGCTCTACTCCACACCCCCTCACACTACATTGTAAGTATTCATACACTTTGGTGTCCTAACTAGCCTCAGACTCAGAAGACATAGTCCAGAAACTTCTCTAAAGGGAGGCCACAATCTTATGAGAGGGGAAACAAACTATCGAGCAAACCATGTTTCCCGAAGTCCTGTTATGTGATGGCAGGAGCAGAGACTAAAAGGGAGGAAGCATGGCCCTCTTTGCATTTGCAATCTAGTCAAGAAGACACACAGAGCCGCTGGCTGGAATTCGAAACATTACATGATCAAACAATGTCTGGTGTCAACATTCCAGGAAATGAAGAGGGTGAGTAACGGTCATCCAGATGCCCACAGAAAGCATCATTCAGGACTAACTGGAGGGTGGAGAGAGGCTGGGAGAATTTGCACCAAGACTGGGAAATATACCATCCAAGATCGGCCTAAATGGCATCTCTGGATAGAGGGAAGGATGATATGTATGTAGTGGTTAATCTTCATTTTCAATTTGAGTAGATTTAGAATCACTAGGAAACACACCTCTGGCGATGTTTGTGAGAGTATTTCCAAGAAGGTTCAAATGGGAAGGAAGACCTTCTTTGAATGTGTGGAGCATCATTCCATGGACCGGAGTCCTGGAACGATTGAAAGGGAGAAAGCAATAAAGCAATCATCTGTCTTCCTGACTGAGTTTCCTGACTGAGGACAGAATGTGACTAGTCATCTCATGTTACCACTCCATGCCTTCCCTGCCACGATGGGCTATATTCTCTTAATCCATGAGTCCCTGCCATGATGGGCTATATTCTCTTAATCCATGAGTCCCTGCCACGATGGGCTGTATTCTCTTAAACCATGAGCCTAACTAAAGCCTCTCTCCATTAACTTGCTTTTTGTCAGGCACATGGCCACAACAGTGACAAAAGTGAATAATGCAGATGGTTTGGAAGAAAGAGAGCTTGGGGGCTCCACAGTCACTTTGGATGCTAATGATGTCATCCAATACAGGAATTGAACCTGTTTAACTGAGGTTCTAGCAGTAGAAAAGCTAGCACATGTGATAGAAATATATCGACAAACAACATGGGATATAACAAGGGACACATTTGCACTAAAGAAACCTTTCTTTCTTTCTTTCTTTCTTTCTTTCTTTCTTTCTTTCTTTCTTTCTTTCTTTTGGCTTTTTAAGATAGGCTTTCTCTGTGGCTTTGGAGCTGTCCTGGAACTAGCTCTTGTAGACCAGGCTGGCCTTGAACTCACAGAGATCCGCCTGCCTCTGCCTCCCGAGTGCTGGCATCAAAGGTGTGTGCCACCACTGCCGGCTAAGAAACCTTTCTTTTTTTAATCGGGCATCTTCATGGTGGTAGAAAGCAAGGTCTGGATGAACTGAAAATTCTGAGCATTAAGACCCAGTGTCTACCCTGTGTCCTGGGGTGGTGAGAAGGCACTGACAGGTTTTCACTGTGGAACTGACAGGATCAAACATACCTTTCAAACAGGCTCAGGTAGTATCGAGGGGGTATATAAAGTGTGGGGGAGAAAGGCTGGAGGCTGGGAGGATGGGAAACAAGGTGGGGGGTGGAATGAATTATGGTAGAAGAAGTGGGCAAAGGCAGGACGGCAGGATAGAGAAGCAATGCATTTCAAATCAGCAGAGGTCACCTTAAAGGGATTTCATGTGAGCAGTCAAAGGCACAGAGGGGTTACCTGTTGGAAAGCAAGCCCCAAGAAGAGCTGAAAAAGCACCTGGTGACAGTCCCCGTGGCCTCCTGCTGCCCAAAGGAAGAAGGCCAGGCTTAGGCGGAAGTGTTTGAGCAGCTGCCATAGCGAACCCCTCCCAGACTTTCCCTTGGCCTGTTGGTCTGCACACTTCCCTTTTCCCTTGGGCTCCGGCACCAGTCCAGAGCACACGCTGTTCTCCTGAGCAGATGTGAATGTTCTGGGTCGGGTGAATCACTGGCCCTGGTTAGGAAGGCCAGGCCAGATACAAGGCAATCTCAAAGAACACTCCAAAGGCCTCCTGTGGGAATCTGAATAGAAAGGTTTGCACAGGAGAAAACAACAGGTGTCAAAACAGTGCTGGCCTTTGCTAGGGCGCCTTCCAGCACAGTTCATGAACCTATGCCCTATCTCAGGCCTGGCTGTCATGAGTCGCAAGCATACCCTTGTAGCTGCGGCTTCATCGTCTTAGGCGATAGGAAAGTCAAGAAGGTAGAAACGTCTTCCGTGCCTTAATTTACTAAGTGCTAGCACAGCTGTTCCAACTAGCCTCAAGACCCATCACTAGCCCATGGTCCTCTGTGTTGCATAGGGCTGGATCTACACAAGGATCTGGCAGAGAGAAAAGGCTGAAAACAGGAAAAGCTTCTCCCCATAGACTGCACTGGGGAGGCACAGTCCTCCCCAAGACTGTTTCTGCATTTCTACAGATCTGTTGCATGCAGTGGTCTTTCTCAAAACCTATAGTGGAGTTGCTAGGCCTTCCTTGGTACCTTGAAGCTCTGCAGGGAAGAGGCTGCCTAAAAAAAGATTGTTTCAAAATAGTGGTTCTTTGACACGTGTGGGTCCTAGGCCTCACTCTCCCTTTACTGACTGTAGACCTTAGACAAGGTACCCAACGTCTCTGAGCCAGAATTTCCACTATCCAAGAATAACACAGTGATAATAAAGATACTTAAGAGAATTAAATGAGATCATTCATGTTAAGCATCTGGCCTTGCATCTGACACTAAGTAAGCCTTTAATAAGTGTTAACTATTAAAATTATCCCCCCTTTAATCCTTTATGGAATTCTTTTTCCCAAGGTCCCAACTCAACCAACCCTTTTTGGTCACTGTTGCCAGGTTACAACCTTCCCCAAAAATCCTTCTGGGAGGTTCCCAGTTCTTGCTCGACAGAGGGTGGCTCTCCTGGGGTCTTTCAACCCCGAGCCACATGCCCTGTATGCCCCTACATTTTGCCTTTCCTCTCCGGTGCCATTGTCTTAGAAGGAGCCGGAGCCAGAGCCAAAAGGCAAAGGGCAGGGGCCAAGAGCATGCTGGCAAGGCTGGGTGGGGCAGCCGAGGTCCCGACTTTGTCCTATCAGCAATTTTTCCTTGTGGGAAGGCAGCCGCTGAAGAACTAGAACTTTCTGGGAATGTTCAACTCTGACTCTGTTCAAAGCTGGACTGCTCTGGGGTCACAGTTCCTCTCCAGCAGGCTCTTTGGCCTCTTGTGTGAAAGGAACAAGAAACTCAAAGATCCCCACCTTCATAGACCTCCACATAGAATACCAAGCTGCAAAGCTTCCTGCAGGCACACATGTACCCCAGTTTGCACGAAACCCTGAAAAACAACGCAATGGGCAGAGCTACTCTTGAAAGGAGAAAGGGTCTCGGGTGGAGGCATTTGTTTGCTCTCCAAACTTTACACTAGGTTCTGGCACTTGCCACTGAACTTCACAGGAATTCTCCAAAGCAAGTGTGAAAATATCCCTGGTGTTAAATCAATTAGGACACCTTCGGCAACCAAGCACTCCACTCCGTTTAACGTTTAACTGGCGCTTCCTTCCTCAACTGTTACGGCACCTTCTAAGTAGACTCTCATTAACTGCCTGCGAAGCTGGAGGAAAAGGGACAAGCCAAAAGAGAAAAAGGAAAGACACACATAGCTGCGTTCAAGGCGTCTTCACAGAGAAAACGGTCGACAGAGAAAATAAGAGAGACCCTATGTTTACAAAAACATCTGAGCCGTGGCAGAAACACTTTGAAAGCAAGTCTGGCTATGGGCCTTTCCATTGGCCCTGCCCAGCTGTCTCGCTCCGCTCCTACTCGGTACGAAATGTTCTTTCTTTTTGTGGTTATAACCTCTTTTCCCTTGGAATGACTTGCCCACGTCTGGACCTCAATCAGGGCTGCTTGCTCTGAGACACTCTCACGCAATAATCAATTACCCAGGCATCCTTGCTGCAAGCTCTCCTCCTCCGTCCAGCCCACTTTCTTCCCCTCCCTCGGGCCTCTGAAAAGTTACTGCGGTTGGTTCTTGGTGGCTTCCACGCCGGGCTGCCCCTCCCTGGTGACCGGCAGCACATGGCTCCCCATGAGGTTCAGTGGCTAGCCGGGAGGCGGAAGGCATGTGGCTCTCCATGCGGTCTCCAGACAGGGCGGGCCTGGCAAGCTCTGGGTGGCCCGCCCAGCCTGCGGCTCCTGGATAGTTCTCTGGATGACTGGATTGGGGAAGAGGCAGCAGGGAGGAGTGAAGTGCCTAAGATTTTTCCAAATGTGTCTAATATGCCCTCACTCAAAGACGCCCAAGGAAACCAAACAAGCTTCATTAATAAGGGACTTGGGGGGCAGGGGAGTAAGGGTCTAAACTCAGAATGTCAGAAATAGGATGGGTAGAAAGGCATTGAGCAAGGAGCCTCGCACAGACAGCCGGGATTGTGGAAAGCCAAGCTGAGAGCTTTGGAGCCTCGCTGGATCAAATGCCCTGCCTCCTAATCTGGGGCTGGGGAGGGGGGGAGCAGAAAGTGGGTAGCTCCCAAACTTTGCTGCAAAAAATGAGCTCATCTCTGTAGCTCTTCAGGCACCATAACAGGACCTCCAGCATGCCACCGAAAGTTCTTACGGTCAGAGTTTGGGCCCTCACCTCCCAGAAACGCTTGACTCACCACTCGCATCCCCGACATGTCAATTAAAAAGACAAGTAATAATGAAAATCAGACAGTGAAGATTTATTCACTGTGGCCTCACTGGGAACAGGAACAATAAAGACGACCTGTTAAACTTTTGAGGTTCTTACATGAGATTTAGGTTTAAGCAGAATGCAATAGGTATTCATAGCTAAGTAGTCAGTCAAAGTCTGCTACAAGGTGACCCACTGTTGTCTGGGCTCCAGTTTCTCCTGAAAGTAGTCCCACAAGTTGTTAGAACTGTGTGAAATCTCTTCCTAGGAGGCAAGTTCCTCCTCTGGCTGCCACCGGGCCTTTGACACTTCTCTTTCCCTAGCAGGACTTCCTGGGGAAACTGTAATTCTTTGGGGTTCGATGTTTCCATAGTCTGGTAGCCAGAGAGAGGCGCCCAGTCTGTTTGTAAATTGTCTTCTCTCCTGGAGGAATGCAAGAGTATCTTGAGAGAAAACAGACATGCTGGGTGATTGACAGGAGAGTTAGGCAAAAGGATTTTTAAAAAACTGTCTAGGCGGTCTGAATGTGCAGTAAAAGTAGAAAGCAGCCCTGCATACCAGCGCCCTGTACCACACCTGAGAGCTCGTCAGAAATGCAGGGTCTCGTATGCAAGCCCAGTGTACCTGAGACACTGGATTTCTTTCATTCCCAAGCATGGAGGAAAGTCAAGACTCCAACTCCAGCTCGGATCTGCTGAATCAGTACCTGCATTTCACACAACGAATAAAAAAATCAGTTTTATTAAAATATAATTCACATACCTTAAATTTCATCTTTGAAAATTACATTTTTTTTTTTTGGTTTTTCGAGACAGGGTTTCTCTGTATTGTTTTGGAGGCTGTCCTGGAACTCACTCTGTAGACCAGGCTGGCCTCGAACTCACAGAGATCCGCCTGCCTCTGCATCCCAAGTGCTGGGATTAAAGGCGTGCGCCACCAACGCCCTGCCTGAAAATTACATTTTGCAACCTGTACTTCCGTCATGTTCCATTCGTATCCTTGCAGAAAAATAGTCTTAGGAGCAGCTGCTCTCCATTTCCCGCCACCCCGCAGTCAGGCACTATCCCACTTTCTGCTGCAGCAGGTTTTCTCCTGGGCATATTTGCATCTACATGCATGCCAGTGTGGCAACATCAGTACCACCTCATCCCCTTCCTATAACCAATGTCCAGTGGACATGAGGGCCCAGCATTACTACATTTCCTGATTTTTCAAGAGGAGTTCTAAAAATGGATTTTTGTGCAAAATCTTACAGATGAATAGCTAGATCAAAGGTTTCAGCGGTATACATGAGGCTGGCCTCAAATTGACAAACCTCCTGTTTCAGCCTTCCAAAAACTGGGACTACAGACATGCACCACTAAACCTGGGCGGACTTTTTATTAGAGTTTTTTTTTTTTTAGGGTGAAAGCTCAGGGTCCTAGAAAGTGCAACAAAGTAGGCACCGCCATCACCCTCCTGAGATGCACAATAAAGATACAAGTAACAATGGAAGCCAGAGACAGGAGATTTATCTAATGTAGCCACAACAGGAAGAGGAACAAATAAAAGGGGTCCATCCGGTCTTCAGGGTCCTGACAAGATGTTTAGGTTTTCAGTAGAGGGCAAAAGCGATGAATTACCAAGCAGCCATCAGCGAGGTGTGGTCCTGGTCCCTGTTGACCCATTGCTGTCTGGGCTTCAGGCTCTCTTCAAGGCGGTCTGACAAGCTGTGGCCACTCTGTGAACTCTTCTTTCCTCCTCCGGCTGCAACCAGGCCCCAACCTTTCCTGTCTCTAGAATGTCTCCTCTTCTGCCAAGGCAGTTACAGAATCTTCCACTTTTTAAAAGGTGGCCAACTAGTTCAAATTTTGGGGACACGCTGTTCAAGCCAAACAAAACCTGCCTGAAGGCTACTTTCAGCCTCTTCAGTGGCAGTTGGCAGGTTCTGATGGTCACTGGGTCCCCTCCAGGGCCCACTATAACTACAGCCATAGTCTGTGTTGTCGTTCTGGTTTGTCACAGCTGTGGGGGAAGGAGTACTTAGCAGCCTCCTCCTAAAATTCTCTCTCCTCTTATTTCTCTCCTCCCAAAAGACATACATTTGTTGAGGACCTAGTAAGAACTTGGTGCTTTATGTTTTGGAATCACGTGAATGCTAACAATAGTCAGCATGGGTCCAGGCACACACCTTTAAAAATCCCAGCACTCAGGAGCCTGCATGGATGGGATCTCTGTGAGTTCAAGGCCAGCCTGATCTACATAGTGAGTTCCAGATCAGTCAGAGTTACATAGCAAGACTCTGTCTTAAGAAAACGAACGAGCAGGGCCATGCGGTGCATGCCTTTGATGCCAGCACTCAGGAGGTGGAGGCAGGCTGGTATCTGTGAGTTCAAGGCCAGCCTGGTCTACAGAGTGAGTTCCAGGAGAGGCTCCAAAACAATACAGAGACTCTCTGTCTTGAAAAGCCAAATCAATCAAACAAACACACGAAAGGAAACCAACATCTAGCTGAGCAGAAGTGGTGATGCACACACCTTTAATCCCAGCACTCAGGATGAAGAGGTAGGCAGATCTGTGAGTTCGAGGCCAGCCTGGTCTAAACAGTGAGATTGAGGGCAGTCAGGGCTACACAGAGAAACCCTGTCTCAAAAAGACCAAACCAAACCAAAGCCAACATTATCATCATAGTAATATTTATTGTGGATATGTTTTGATTTTTTGAGACAGGGTTTCTCTGTGTAGCCTTGGCTGTCCTGGAATTAGCTCTGTAGACCAGGTTGGCCTCGAACTCACAGAGATCTGCCTGCCACTGCCTCCTGTGTGCTGAGATTAAAGATACATGCACCACTGTCCAAATCTTATTCTAGTTTTAAAGACAAAGAAACTAAAGCTCCAAGTGGTTAACATTCCTGATATTGCTTGATCACTAATCGATAGAGGCCCAACTCCTTATGCCCTGCCACATTGCCTCCTCCAATCTTTATTGAAGCCTTGTCTTTCCAGCTCTTTCTTCCTAATACTAACCTTGTCTGTCTTCCCCAGATTCTGGATGCAGCTCTCTCATGAAGACTAAACTGTCACCAAGCATGGTCTCATCGAATCTAGGACCAATAGTGGCTGGGGCAAGTCTCAAACCCCCGGCTTGTTTCCCTGCATGTACACTCAAGCTTGTCAAATCTGTGGCCTGATATTTGGTGTGGAAAATGTGGTCGACACCAGTGAACTGTGCTGTTTTGAAGCGGAATCATATTCAGTTGTGGCGAGCCCCCTCGTTATGTGGTGTCCCCCTTGTTTGTGTTGAACCGGCTTATGCTGTTGGGTTTTGTCACTAGGAATCTCTTGCAGTAGTCCCCAATGAATTTCATCCTGGTTTCACAGGACCTCCCTCTGACCCGTCCAACTGGAAGTTTCTCCTATCTCTTGTGGCTTTAGCCCCCCTCCCAACCTTCTCTAATTTCCAAGTCACATTGGGATTAGAGAAACTGTTTCCACCCTCGCCAAAGGTCCCAGCTGGTGCCCTCTCTTCACTGCTCTGGAAACCCCACTTATGCCTCCTGGGAGATGATGGGGACAAGTGAAGAGAGGCAATCTCTGCTACCCAACTTTGGGGTTATTGGCAAGCCTGTCTGTACCTTGGGGTGTCGCCTCCCAATGGCTTAGGCTGGAAGCTCTCTTGTGCCAGTCCCAGATCCTATCTGGTCCCAGGAGGGTGTCAGAGGACCACAGACCTCTTCTCCAATCAGAAGCATCTTTGGTCCTGGCCGACCCTTTGGCAAACTGCCCTTTGGTTAAGTCTAGCCCTTTGGGATATCCCATTGTTTGAGTACTAAGGAATCCCAAGCCGGTTGCTAGGCACAGCTCTCAAACAATGTAGTGTGACAGTTCCCCAGTCGGCCAGGGCCTCCCCAAGCCACAAGGGTGTGGTTTGTAGTCTGGGTACATTCTGTACCCTAGTCCGGGGGCGGGTTTGTGGTTGCTGGTGCTGTGCAGGAGAGCCCCGCCCATGCTTTTCCTCGCCAGCCACAAAAACAAGCTTAGACCCTGAGCTGGGAGGAATTGAAACAGTACGTGTTACTCTACAGCTGACACCTGAGGCTCTGAGGTGGAGCCACGCCTTCCCCTTCCCCCAAGGCATACCTTGAGTCAATGGTCAAGTGTGCCAAAAGCTCCCCTCCTGGCGGCGCTACCTCCCTTCCCAGACTTTCCAGCATGGCTACCTGACCCACAGCATGTGGCTCAAGAGCGAAGGTGCCTGGCTGCCACCCCCCATGCCTACGAGTTCCCATACATGGCTTTCCTTTCTGTGCTAGCATTCAGTGTCTCCATAGTCCTCTGCTAGGCTTCTTGCCTCCGTGCCTCCGTAGTCTCATTATGACCAGCTAATACCTGAGAGCCAGAGGGTACCAGATACTTGCAGCCTTTAATCATTGCATAGACTTTGCCAATTTACGGGGCATTCCTAGCTGACACATACACTCTACAAGCAGGCACTGAGGTTGGCAATTTATATATCTTTTTTAAAACCACACACACAATTCTTAGATTAAAAAAGATTTATTCATTTTACGTGTATGAGTGTTTCGCCTACTTGATTGTATGGGTATCACGTGTGTACCTGGTACCCAGGGAGAACAGAAGAAGCTCCCAAGGATCCAGGGGTTCTTAGATCCCCTAGAACTGGAATTATGGTTGGTTGGTTGGTTGGTTGTAACCTGCCATGCAGGTGCTGGGAATTGAACCGGGATCCTCTGAAAGAACAGCAAATGCTAACTGCTGAGCCATCTGCCCAACCCTTAGATATTTTGGGGACACAAGGTCTTATGTAGCCTGGGCTAGCCTCAAACTCCCTATTGTACTTAAGAATAACCCTGATTGAAGGGCGGCAGTGACCCACACCTTTAATCCCAGCACTTGGGAGACAGAGGGCAGCAGAGTTTGAGGCCAGACTGGGCTACAAAACTACACAGAGAAACACTGCTTCGAAACAAAATAAAAAAAGAAAAGGGAAAAAATAATAACCCTGACCTGATTCTCCTCCCAAGACCTGGGATTGCAGGCATATACTCCCATACCCAATTTATGTGGTGCTAGGGATTGAATACAGAACTTGTTTTCTTCTTCTTCTTTTTTTTTTCGAGACAGGGTTTCTCTGTGGCTTTGGAGCCTGTCCTGGCACTAGCTCTTGTAGACCAGGCTGGCCTCGAACTCACAGAAATCCGCCTGCCTGTGCCTCTCGAGTGCTGGGATTAAAGGCACGCGTCACCACCACCCGGCAACTCTCATACCTCTTGAGCACTGTGATTATGAGAGCTACTATCTGGCAGCGCTTAAAATGGTTTTGAGATCACCCTCCCTCCTACTGAAACTGTTACTAACCCCCTTTTGCAGACAAGGAAACTAAGAGAGAAAAATTAAATACTGTGTAGAAGGCCATCCACTACCATATGGGAGAATCAGGATTTGGACGTGTCTGCTACTCAAGCATATGACCTTTCCTTCAGTTCTGAACTGTCTCTTTACCCCTCAGGCCACCCACCGGTGAGGGCAGAATAGCACGTATTCTCAATGTCCACTGGGGAATACAGTACTTAGAGTTTCCAAGAGGAGGAGCGCACGGACTGGAGAAGCTAGGAGTAAATTCGCTCTTTTACAGGGATTCCCCAGGACTCCCTGGGAACTCGGCCACACCCAACAGTTTAAGCGACAAATGTCTGGCTTTACTTTAAGTCTGCCTAGGTTGCCGGCTCATGCAGACACAGGGCGCACAGAGACTGGAAAGAGGAGGGAGGGGGAGGAAACACACCGTCCCAGAGCTCTCTTGCACCCTCTTCAGGCGACTTCTGATCACTGCCGTTCTTGTGCAAGCCACGGAAGTCTGTCATCTAAGGCCGAGTCTCTGGATTTAAAAGCACACCTGTTCTGTGAAGCAGGGTGCTGTTGAGCGATTTTGTTTGGTTTTGTTTTCGTTTTGTTATGCTAAGTGCATAATTCCGGGGTATTGAGTAGTGTACCATCTGCATTCATGCATTCAACCAGTAACTGAAAAAACCCAGAAAAACTACATATGTGCTGAACATATGCAGACTTTCTGCATTATTCCCTAAAAAATACAGTAGAATGCCTATGTAGATGTCTTTGACATTGTAATAGATATTATAAATAATCTAGGTGTGATTTTAAAAGCACACAAAAGAATGTGCATAGGTTTGTTTGCTTGCTTGTTTTTGTTTTGTTTTTTGAGACAGGGTTTCTCTGTGTAGCTTTGGGGCCTATCCTGGCACTCACTCTGTAGACCAGGATGGCCTTCAACTCACAGAGATCCACCTGCCTCTGCCTCCTGAGTGCTGGGATTAAAGATGTTCACCATCACCGCCTAGCTTCTTGCTTGTTTTTGAGATAGGATCTCTATGTAGCCCTGGAACTTGCTATGTAGACCAGGATGGCTTCGAACTCACAGACTCACAGAGATTCTCCTGCTTCTGCCTCCTGAGAGCTAGGATTAAAAACATGCACCACCACTGCTAGGTGATGTGCATAGGTTTATATGCAAATGCCATGCCAATTTTTAAAAGACTGAGCATTCTCAGGTACTGGGAATTCTGGAACAATTTCAAGTACATCGAGTGATTAAGGAGCATTACCATTACCACAGTCGTTCCACTCTTACAACCATCCATCATTAGAACTAAAACTGTTTCCTCATAGCCCTTCCCCACCCCTTATAATTACTACTCTATTTTCTGTCCCTATGGATTTGACAACTCTAAGTATTATGTATTGCCAGAATCACA